CCAAATTAGATAGTCTTGAACATTTTGTACAATCAGTATGCTTCTAACTTGATGGAACTACTTTAGCATCTGGTAGTAGTGATTAATCAATCAGATTATGGGATGTTAAAACAGGATAGTAAGAATTATTTTGTCAATTATTTCATAATTTATAAAAAAAACTTTTTCATTGAAAACTGTTCATATTAGAGAAACCTGGAGATTTTTTGTAAATACCTTTAGAAATACCACGAACAACTGACAAATTTAAATTTTAACTTTTTTACTGACCTCAGAACAGATATTTGATGAGAGAAGAAAAAGGATCAGAAAGATAATAATGCCATATCACTATGTCCAATTGTCATGAACACCTCGCAAACCTCTAGTACTACGTCTGCCATGATTGATTATTCATTTAACATTAAATGCTTATAGAGAGGATACTTTAAATATTATCAGAATTACTCCGCTTATCGTGCTTATCATTTTTAACTTCAAAAAAAGATAGAAATACAAGGAAGTTTAATAAGAGCAAGAATTAGTTTAACAAAATACACAATATGATAACAATTATTTCTAAAATCAATAGAATAAAATATTTTAGACAAATAATAATTCAACATTTTTAAAATGATTTAAATAAATAAGTCGAAATTGATTAAATCGCTTCCAAAAATCAAAATTCAAAATTAAGAAAATAAAAAGAGAATAAAAAGAAATAAAGAAATTCGAATAAAAACAACTAAATTTACAAAGTATAAAAAAACTAATTAAATTCAGACAATAATTTACTTTTTATTTAAGCTTCTTAGTAAGAAAGCTAGTTAGTCTTAGGTCCCCATTATGCGAAAATCAGTAAAAATATTTAGGAAGGCTATATTAAAGGTATTTTTGGTTTAAATAAAATTAGCGATGAGTGCGCCTAAACAAAACAAATAATAATATTAAATTTCATAAATTATTAATGAAGTTTGTATTAGCTAGGTTTATAATTAACATTATTTACATACAGAATTAGCAAAAAAATAATTCTATAATATCTAATTAGTTAAAAAAACTTTTATCTGGATATAGAAAAATAAAACATGATCCAAACAGTTTTTTTGCTGCTTTATCATTTTAATTCTTTGAAATAGCATAAAGATAACAAAATTAAAACTAACTAGAAAATGAAGAGTTAGATTAAAAATTAGAATATTTTCATTTAGACAAGACAATTTAAA